CTTTACCTGGAATGAATCCTCCACATTAGAGAGAAAAAAATCCTTCATTAGAATTCAGAGCCTACCATAACATAGAATTTTTCCTGTATCTTCAGTATTTTATTAAGAGAGTAAACAGAAAGATAACAGTTTGCAGGAAGTCTCCCAAGATGATGTTCAGTGGGGCTTAGTTCTTTTTTCACTGTCGGTGTTAGTCCATGTTCTATTATATAACAAAGTACCCGTGGCTGGAGACTTTATAAATGAGAGAGATTCACTTAGGTCAAGGATCCTGAAGCTCAAAGGCTTGCTGCTGGTGTTGCCCTGGCTCCACCTCATGGTGGAAAGCGTCACATGGCTGAGCCCATGCAAGAGTAACCATATGGTAAGACAGGAAGCCAGTGAGGGGAGACCTCCATCTTGCTCTTTGTACAGCAACCCTCTGCCCAGGAGCACAAACTCACCTCTGGAGATCAGCTTCAATCACTTCCCAAGACTTCCCCCAGGTGCCACTTCTTAACAATGACATTCTGAGAACCCAGCCTCCAGGACTTTCGGACACCAGGCATCCCAGAGCACAGCATAGCCTTCTGTGATCACATCTCCAGGGCACACACAGATGCTCTCCAGAGAGATCTGCAACATCCTCACTTGGTTGGAAACTCTACTCTACTTACTGTCTACCTGACCAGCTGTAGAAAAGTCCTTTGAGTTCTACAAAATTGGATTCTCAGCTGATGCAGTGCAGAGTGAAGGGCTTTAATGAAGCTTCACAGACACAGGGGTGCTTTCCAGAAGGGGTGCTGCTCCTGCTGCCCCATTCCAGCTGCTAGAATGTGATGGCAGCTGCTGGAGGACAGCAGGAAGGGGCAAAGCCCATGTCCCCCACCCAACACAGGGGCATCATAAACTACATTGAATGTATAAATTATAGCATATTTATCACCATGAGAGACTCATTGCCATGAGTTCCCAACAAAATCCTTTCCCTGGCTTCACACACCCATCCCATGGCTCTCGGCACTCCCTGAAGCAGCTTTGGGAGAATCCCTTTTCTGAGCCATGCTATTGTAGCTACCTCAGTGTCCTGGATAGATTCAAACCCTTTTCCTTCCCTTATTTTTACTTCGGAGAAGAGCCAGAAGTTCCACAGGACCAGGTCAGATGAATAAAATGGAAAAGGACAAACTTGTCTTTACAAACCTGCCTTCCTGCAGGATGGCACTCAGCAGCAGTACTCTTGGGAAAGAGGGTTCCAGTACTGCTTCGCAGAGTAGCAAGAACCATGAGATAAGTGTGTTCAAAATGAAGGGGAGGATTGTGAGGGATTCTTGGGAATACATCTTATACTGCAATAAGTTTTTAAAAATGTAAACATTCACTTTTATTTTGATCAGTCTTCCTACAGCACAGCTCCTGACCTGCAATCCACCCACTTACCTGTTCTGGGTAGAGTGGTCACTTGAGGTCCTTCATCGTGCCAACATTCATTGACCCTGTCCCATGAGCCAGGATGGCTCAGAGAGATGGTTATTCAGCCTCCGGAATTATTAGATGCAAATAAAAACTGCAGTGATATTTGCCTTTTCCTAGCTGTAGCTTAGAAATAGTCCAGAGTGTCTTTTATGACTGTCTAGTCTAACATTTCCACTTTGAGAAAAATTACTTGTCCAAGATTACATTTTTTGTGCCAAAACTCAGTTTGGAACTCCAGATTCCTGATCCTCTGCTTTTTTATTCCCTGTCACTCTTGTTGTAGGATGACCTGGGGACTCAAGTCAGGGGCCATCCTGCTTCCACTTGGCTAAATGTCTTACTGCACACATGTGGAAAAGTGACAGCTCCAAATTCATAGTGCTTGTGCTAAAGGTCTCCCACCTCCAAACTAATTAAAAAAGGAATGTGGTGGTGTTTATAGGCCTCGCCCTTCTAACCTTTTAACTAACCTTCAAGTTTCTTTGTTGCAGTCCTGGACATTGAGCCCAAGGCATTGTACGTGGCAAGCAGCTGCTCTATCATGGAGCTTCAGCCCCTCCTTCTTTTATTTTTTGAGACGGGGTCTTGCTCAGTTGCCCAGGCTGCCCTTGAGCTGGGGGTCACCCTCCTCAGCCTCCCAAGGAGCTGGGATTATAGGCATGAGGTCATTGTAAATACAGAATTTTCAGTGACAAGAAATCCCAGCCCTGTGCAAGAAACCCGCTACAAGCCCCTCATTGTGAGCTGCTGAGGTGCCAAGCAGGCTGTCTCCACTTAGGTTTGAAGCGGTAAAATCTTACCTGGCTTTGAGACCTCTAGAATCCTATCACCCACCTTCCTGTTTGGTGAAGCCACATCAGGCTATGTCAATCCAGCTGCCCAAGTGGCCAAGTGACAGCCATGGCTGAGAGTAGAACTAATGCCTCCTTATATTCCAGACATCCAGAAAAGCCCAAGAGCCCTGTGGGAGGGATGCTGCACTTCAGAAGAAGCAAATCTAGCTATGGCTGGGAAGGGAAGCAGCTGGAGAGACAAAAGGTGGCTGAGTGCCTCTGGCCATGGCTGCACTGGCTAGAATGGCTGGACACAGTATTTTCTGCCACCCTAGGGGAGGACTGCCTGGCAGAGCTTAGGCGCCTTGGGAGAGGGAACAGTCACGACACCCATTGGCAAGTGGAGCTCTTGGCATTGCATATGGCAGCACTGACCTAAGCTCCTTATCCAAGCGCTCTCTGCTCCCAGATGATTCAACATGGTGCCCTCCCTCAGGCCCTGTGCAGGATGGGAAGGTAAGGGAGGAAATGCAGATTGGGGTGCAGGGAGGAGGAGCTGGGTCACGAAGGAGTTTTCAGTGTAGAAAGAGAAATAAACAACAGAGTCGAGGAAAGCAACAACTAAGCCCTGGACACCTGGTCCAACCACTAGCCCACATCCCAGCGCATGGACTCTGAGTTCCAAACAGAATCAGGGGCCGCCTGGTTAATTTTCCACCAGGCTCCTTGTGAAGATCTGTATACCCGCATTGGTCTGGAAGTCTGGGGGTCCTGGACGAGCATGAGAATCACCTGAAGAGCTGTGCAAGAAACAGATAGAAATCAGAGCCCTTCTCCCATTGGAACAGCAGAGAGTGGGCTGGTCACTGCATCAGAGGAGAAAGTTCAAGCTCTCTCTACCTGCTTTGTTGAGATAATTTTAAACACTAATTCTGTACAGATTTTGCCAAGGTTTCAGACTTAAGGAGCCCTTAATAAATCTAATGATTCAGATTTGATTTGGCACCATGATCTTTTAATCTATTATACTTCTAAGTTCAGGGCTGATGAGCATTTCCCTCTGCCCTACTGAGCCATAGGATGTTAGGCTTTGTGACTTCCCTAACATCTTTCCAGACTGGCTTATCCTGTTAAGATTCCATATTCAAGCTCTAACAGAGGAAAAGAAGGATGACCAGCACATGAGGAATTGCAAACACCACAGTTCATAGGAGAAACTGCTGAGATATTAGGATCTCCTTGTTCAGTACCAAGATTTTAGGAATCACAACCTCATTCCATGAATGCTGGAGAAATGCATTCATGATCAAAAGCTGGAACCGATTTCTAGACCATCTTGCATAACAAATAAACAATCAAGGGAAGAAAGCAAAAATGTTGACAGTGGCCTAATTAAATGGAAAATGTGTTTCCTACTTGAGGACTGGGATTGTCTTTTGGAGCCTGGGATGGGAAAATCCCTTTCTCAAGTTAAACCCATGAGGAAGGGGCTCTAAACAGGGCAGTCAGTCTAAATCCTTCTCTGGTTTTCCTTGTTTTGGGATGTTTCTGAATGGAAGGATGCCAGCTTTCAGTTTTCCTGAGCCATGCATAATCAGGTCTAACACGCAGTATGACAGTCTCTTACATATTTGCAGCAAGGGTCCCAGATGTAGAGAGAGCACAAAGACTTCCACAGCAAGCTGCAGGGAAACCATCCCGTGCCCAACTTTAGCTTCACTCCCCTGCCTTCCTTGGCTTCTAATCCTTCTCATGCTGGATTCCTGGCTGGAGAATGATGCTGTGCACAGATGCGCAGTGGCCTCAAACAGAACGGACACCTGCCAGCAGCCGGGCAGATACGAATACCTGCCAGTCTCCCTCCATGGTCACTGCACAGCTGGCCTAGTTGGGGAGCGTCTCCCCAGCCAGCAGCAGAGGCTGTGATTCTTCCCATGTGTGCTTTCTTTGTGGGAGCTGTGGTGCTAACACAAACCCCTGAATGTCAAGCTACTATAAAGCTTGTGCTGTCACAGAGTGATCCCCTATTTCTTCTCCAAGGCATAGCATGTCACCAACAGGAATGTTTAGTGAATTCTTCCTAAATGTCATCCATGGCCTTTAAAACAATAGCTGTAACATTACAAAGTGAATACTGTGTGTTAGTAGTTCATCTCCCAGGCATATCATCGTCCACAAAGTGGATATGGATCCTGTAGCTAAATGTGTGTGTGTGTGTGTGTGTGTGTGTGTGTGTGTGTGAGTGATCTACCTACTGACAAGCCACCCGGACTCAGTGAGTTGAGTGACATTTACTTTGCACAGGAGACTTAGTGGAAGTAGCTAAGTCTACTCATTAAGTATTATCAAGGACAGTTCAAAAGTCAGGGACTTCTGAAATCTCTCTCATTCATGTGTCTGGTGGAGATTATTTGGGGATGACTACTTGGGGATATGATGTTCTGGAATCATCTAGAATATTCTGGAATCACCTATAGCAGAGTATGTGCTATCAGAGGTCCTCTCTTTCTGTTAATATTCTAGGGTTGTGTAGTTTCATGAACTTGTGATTCCACAAACTTCCTATGCTTCAAATTCAGTTCAGTTCATGCGTTGGCTTACGGAGACCAAGCACTGCCCTACAAAGGGAACAGAAAAACAGTGACAAGGTGACACAGGCATAAAGATGGGCCGTGGTGTGGCTCCCCTCACTCCAGCATCTGCATATTGTAATCCAACATCCTCCTTACTTGGGGACATGTCCACTCAGTCCTCTGCTTATCATCCCTTCAGGCGGGCACCGACGGGGAAAGCATCGGCAACTGTCCCTTCTCCCAGCGCCTCTTCATGATCCTCTGGCTGAAAGGAGTTGTGTTCAATGTCACCACTGTGGACCTGAAAAGGTAAAGGACACCGTGTCCCCGAGCACTGGACTCAGGGTGAGACAAGGACCCTGGGTGACAGAGGGCAGAGCCTTAAGTGGCTCCTGCAGCCTCAGTTTGGACCTCCTGCCTGGGTTGGTGTCCCCCTAGCTGCCCCAGGGATGGGGAGGCTGTGAACTCAGTGTCTCCTGGGGCTGCCCACATCCCTTGCTGCCCAAACTGTGAAAAACAAGGAAGGACAGACTCTGGGTATACCTGCGAGTGTCTAGTGGGGGGACAGGTGCTGACATTTCAGGACACACAGATCGCCACTCCTGGAGGGCAGTGCCACCACCCCCAGGACTCCAGCAGGACTCAGGTAAGACCTGAGCCTTCATTTCCCATCCTGTTTCCATCCTCCCAAGTCCTTAGTGTAGCAGATCTAGATTCCAGGCCCAGGTAAAGAGCGGCTTACATTCTGTTTTAATTTTTACTCGGGGCCTTCACACTGAGCTACATTTCCCACCCTTTTAATTTTTCATATGAAACAGAGTTTTTCCAAGTCATTATATTGCCCAGGCAGGGATCAAACTTGTAATCCTCCTGCCTTGGTCCCCTAGAGGGCTGGGAACACAACTGCCATGCCTGGCTCCTGTTCTGCTTCTAAATGCTGCTTAGTAACTGTTAAAAGGACCAGGCATCCTCCAACCCTGGAGCTACATCTTTGCTTTCTCTAGGGTGTATATGCTCCCTTCTCCACCTAGGCTTTAACTGTGGGACAGCTTCAGCCTCACCCCTGAGCCCTCAGCCTCTGCCCCCACTGTCCACTGGGCTTGGCAGGGTCTCCCTGTCACTTTAATTTGAATTATTCAATGCCCAGGTCCCTGCAGCCATCCAAATGTCTCCAGGATGTTCCAGCCCTGCTTCCAAATCTGTATGTCCAAACTTGTCACCATCTCTTTTCCTTGGGGGTGGTTCCCCTCCCAACTTCCTTGCCCTTCTCTTTCCTTACTCCCAAAAGAGTAAGCTCCCCAGCTCCTCTCTCTCCCTTCCCAGTGCTATCTTCCACCTCTATAAGCTCTTTTAGGTCCTCAAAAACCACACCTGGTCCTGGTTCAGGTTTCAGCACCGCCAGAATAGCTGTTTCTCATTCTTCAAACTGGTCTCCAGCCTTCTAGATCCTCTCTCTCTCCCTCCCTCCCCCTCCCCAATCTTTTCCTTATCCCCATGTGATAATTCCTGCTAAAGCAGTCTTAGTCAAGTGTTTCTTTCCCCTGCTGTTAATCCTTCACTGTTTCCCATTGTCCACAGCATGGGTGTCCCAAAGTCCCCTTCCTCCTGCCCTTTGTTGTTCCCAGCTGTCTCCCAGTGTCCTGTTCGTCTGCCTGATGAACTACCTGCTGCTATCCTTGCTCCCGCATCTTGCATCCCTTGTCTGCACAGGCCCTCTCCTGTCTCTGCAGAATGCCTGGCCCCAGGCTCAGTGTCACCCCAGGAGTGAGCTCCCTCCTGACTCAGCAGCACCCACAGGCCAGGTTACCCAGCTTCCTGTCACAGCGTACAGTCCTCACGCTGCAAGCCTGCGAGTACTTTCCCATCAAAACACCCACACCAGAACCCTGGGGAGAGACCCATCTCCCCACGTTATACATGGGAGCAGACAGGCACACTTGGACCCTCACCCAAGGTGCCCAGCTAGACGCCAGAAGGATTGCACTCCCACCAGAATCTCCCTGGGTTAAACCTGTGCTCCTGGTAGCACTACAGTTAGGAAGTTTGTGTCATTTCCACATGCAACTGTAGACCCCTCATGGATAGGCAGGACCACGTTGGGGTTTCTCGGGCCCCCCAACTGCTCACCGACTCCTTGGTAGTACCTGTGGGGTAAAGCGAGCCCAGGCCTGCCACACAGTCAGCATCGCCTCAACTGCAAACATCAAAGCTTCTGCAGTTAGAAAGGATGGCTGCGTAGATGGGAAATCCGGGCTCTTGGATCACTGCCTCCAAGTTGACACCTATGGTCCCCTGGAGGCCAGGGAGGGAAGGAATTCCCACCCCAGCATCATCCATCTGCTGGCCCCTGGTCCCCCAGCACTCCTCTGGGGACAGCATCTCCCCAGCTTTGTAGATAGGGAAGCTTCCCTGCAACCTACACACACACACACACACACACACACACACACACACACACACACAGACACACACTTCTTGACTTCTAGGAAAACTGATTTCTTCTCCGGGTACCATCATTCACGATCTTTTCTCAGTCCCCAGTCATCATCTATGCAATGTAGATAAAAATAGTGACCAGTAACCTATAGGACAGTGATAAGGACCAGGTTAGGTGGGTCTTGGGAGCACCTGAATTTGGGAGGATCACACCTGGCTGACTATAAGACTTCCACCTGTGTTGGCTATTCTTAAAAACCAAGCCACAATCACCCCAAATCTTGGCATCCTTAAGACACAGAGAAGTGACCACAGGAAAGCAAAACTCCCGAGTTTCCCAGAAAGCCATGTCAGCACCTACTTGTATGGGAGGAGCCAGGAAAGAATGTCCTTTCACAGGATGAAGGAGGGACACACACCGAGTAAACACCGGACGCAGTCAACTGGATTTTAAACATACTTTCAGTCTCGGATTCTGAGCCGCAGCCTGTGTGTTTACCAGCAGAGTGACGGGAGTGGTGGCCAGTCATTGACATTCTTCTCGTCCCCTCCCCAGTTGAACACGCCAGGAATTTGTTTCCTCACAGGCACCTCTGCCCTGTTGACTTTTCTGCAGATCTTCCTTCTGGTGTTTTCTACCCTGACTCCCAGAGACAGGCGGTTGCTCCCAAAGAGCTTTGGGGCCCTGGGGCTAGTGCAGGTCACCCCATACCTCTCCCTCCTTCGTCTTCTCAGCACAGCTCCAGGCTGCTGACCCTTCCTCCTCCTTCTGTGCCATCCTGGCTCTTGCATTTGACCACCTGGCTGGTCATGGGTTCACACTGGCATTAACAGGGCCCCACCAAAACCTTGCTTGCCGGAAGTCCCCTCAACAGATAGCCAGAGTTCTACCCAGCAGCACAGAACAGGGTCACGTTCTGCATAGCCATGTCTGAGTGTAGACCCTCCAGCTGTGGAGTGGCCCTTCATTTGACCTGATATGTGTTCCAGGAGTCTGTCCTCCTCCTCTAGAGACACCCTTCTTCCCACTCGATCTTCTGCAGTGGGGAGAATTCCCTGTTTCCTTGTCCATCTTGGACCTAAGTGTCTCACCCAGAATCCTCCAGGTGCGCCAAAATGCCTTCTTTCTTTTTAGGGATGGAGTCTGCTCTTTAACCTGTATGTGCTTCCCATGAAAGATCCTACCAGACCCAGCACAGCGTGCTATAGAGGGAAAATAACATTCATAAAGCAGTTGAGTCCCATTAGAAAACAGAAGGGATATTTACTTAGAAAATGGATTATTTATAACATAGCACTTAGCTACCATTATTCTTAAAATTCATAATGTTTGGAAGCACTGGAGAGAGTGGGGAAGGGTAGGGAATTAAAAAGAAAAGAATTTGGATGAATTATGTATCCCCAAGATAAGTGTAATCAGAATGTACTACAAACATGAACCAATAATGATAAAAAAAATTTAAGCATGATATCCAATTTAGGGAGTATTTTCAGTTTTTTAGGTATAACACAATCTTTTTGATATTGTAAGGAAAATAACTATCTTCCAAAACAATTAGAACCATCATCAAAATTAAAATAGGACTGAAGCTGTTTAGCAATTCCAGGCCAATATTTGACTTCTAATTCTGCAGCTAAAATCACTCCTTTAAATTAGACATGAAATTTTATTTATGTAGTCATTAAGAGATCTCTCCACTGAGAATCTCCTAAATGCTAGGCCTACACATTGGCCTCTGGGCCTGTCTCTCAGTCTTCAAAAGAAGGCTTTCCCCTTCCAGACATCTTCTTACTCAGGAAAACTAGATCCGTCCGCCTGGACCTTCCTGTGTCTGTGTTAGAAACCTAACAAACAAAAGCCTTTTTTGCCTCTGCTATATTGCTTTTAGAATTGTTTTTCAACCTAATAGTTTGTGCATTTTGGTGGATACTAAAAGACCATGTCAGGGACCATTTATGGGTGGAAAAAGTGTCCTTCTGAGCCTGTCAAGAGGATGACCAATGTTATTGTCAGCTATGAAATAGTAAATTTAAATTACACAGGATAAGGGTGCTTGACCTTGAACACATAGTCCAAGATCCTCCCTTTTGTATCTGACCATATTTCTCACTCATTTTCAAGGTTTCCTGTCACATGTGTCTATCCCCCTGTGCTTCCTCCAGCCCTGCTTTCCCGACCCCACACTGTAAATCTGTGTCACTGCCGGGCGTGTTGGACGGCAGAGGCTTCCCAGAGGGCTCTGCCTGTTGTAGGCCAACCCCTGACTCTTGTTCTCTGCAGAAAGCCAGCTGACCTGCACAACCTTGCTCCTGGCACCCACCCGCCTTTCCTGACCTTCAATGGGGAAGTGAAGACAGATGTCAACAAGATCGAGGAGTTCCTGGAGGAAACCTTGACCCCCGAAAGGTACTGAGAGGCTTCTTTCTGGATCAGAGAGAGGGCAAGGAGGGATTGTGTTCTAAAGAGGGTCACGAGCACATTCATCCTGGTTCCACAGGATTCTGAAGTTTCCACAGTCTGCGCAGGACTAGGCTCCTCTCTCTCCAGCACATCACCTGCCCTGAGCTAGGCTCTGTCTGATCCAGGGCCTATTTCTGGACCACAGTTCAATGCAGGAAGCTTTACCAGCACACCCATGCTATGTTAGTGATGCAGGGACCCAGACTTCCCAGTAGTAGAACCTCAAAACTGTAGAAGTTCCCATAGCAGACAGTAGCTAACTGAGACCATCAGCTGTCCCATGTACCCCACAGGAGTGTTGCTTAGATGAGTTTGTGCTCAGCAGATGGGGCCAAGTGACCTCCTAGGAACTGTCACCAAGCCAGTGCTCAGGTTCATGTAGATGCTGCTGGTCCAGTCATAACCTCACCGCTTCCCCACCAACCTGTGCTGGGAGAAGGTGGCCCATGTCCCTAGGCCCCAGAAGGACACTCTCACCCTCTGCTTCTCCAGGAGGCAGCCGAACCCCAGAACTGTCACTTGTATGATCTGCCCCACCACTGCCAGGGAATTCAGACACCATGAGAAACTTTTCCCTGCAAACCATACCGTAACACTCCAACAACTCTTTAATTGCACATTTGATTCCACAGAGCATTTGGTGTCAAAATGAGGAAAATCTCAAGTCATTTGTAAATGAGATGAACATCAATCCCTTTTGGGCCATGGCCCTAGCCACTGCTGGCCAAAGAGGCTTCGGGGCCTCACAGTGAGGACAGGCCAGTCCAGCGTCTCATCTCTGGGAGTAGCCAGAGGGCTTTGCATGCAGAACCAAGTCAGGAGACCCAATTCGGGTCTCCTCTTCCCTAGCTGTAAACTTTGTCCTGGGACCATGGACAGGCCTGTCCCTCCCAGCTCCTCCTCATTTCTCATCTCTAAAGTGAGGACTGATACTCTGGCATCTCTACGTCCCTTTCAACCCAAGTTTTATGATCCCTGGACTAACAGCTAGCAACCGTTTAAATGAACCCTTATGCTTTTCATGGGGCATCTCCAAAACTGAATAGCCACCTCCCATGGCCCAAGGATAACAGACCTAGCTGATGAGCCAGTTGAGGAGAAAAATATGACAAAAAAAGTAAGGACTTTTTGGGGGGGGGGACACAGAAACAAAGGAAAATGTGTCCCTGCAGACAAAGCTGGGCAGGTCCGACCCTCATTACTGCACCTGGTACTCACTGGAGGAGGATGGTTCTGGAGGGGAGGATGGGGTCTCCTGGGAGAGGTGGTTTAGTGACATAGGAGCTCAGGCATGCCTGGATCTGTGAAGCTGGGATCCTATCACAGCTGCCAGTGTCAGGCATTGTGGTTGGAAAGGGGACATGTCAGGCTTCCCAGTGCAGAGGCAACCTCAGCCAGCATTGTGATCTGGGCCTTCCCCTGGAGCAGCATTGCCAGTCCCAGGAAGAGATGCATCCCGGGTTCTCTGAGAGGCATTTTGGCTCCTGGTCAGCAGGCTGTGCTACCCCGGGCAATGCTCCTCTTGGTCTTCATTGTGAGCACCTGCCAAGGGCCCACCCTGAGCACACATGCAGATAGGTGGGTCCTGCTATGGAAAGGGGACCTAGTGACAGTAACAGGTTCACCTTTCCTGAGCTGCAGTCTTGCAATATACAGATCTGCACATCTTCCCTCCAGGTATCCCAGACTGGCTGCGAAACACCGGGAGTCCAACACTGCAGGCATCGACATCTTCTCCAAGTTCTCTGCCTACATCAAAAACACCAAGCAGCAGAACAATGCAGGTAAGTGTCAGAGCCTCCCAGGAGACCCTGGATTTCTCTGTCACCACTGGGTTGACTTCCACTTCCCAGGGGCACATCAGGTACTTGGGCCAGGGAAGCATCTGGACCAATATTGTTGGTCATTTGCCATCTGCAGGCCTCGGTCTGGGCTTGGGTCTGGTCAGAGAGACAGAAAGGAACTCAGTGCTGACCTGCACGGAGAGGCACTGCCCTAGAGGCCTGTATGACACACTGTACAAGGGTACTTTGTACCATGCATTGTTACAAGATGGTAAACCTGTTCACAAGGGAACATACTTGCCAGTTTCCTTCTGGTCGCTGTGAAATTTCTAGGTGTTTTCCAGGCCCAATGATGAGGGCGGCCACTGCCCAGCATATTTCCTCCCCAGGTGTGTGGAGGATCAAGGGGGACTTCTCCGAGCCTCATCCTCTCCATTCGGCTCTGGGGCTCCAGGGCCACCTTCTCCCAGGGGCCCGAGCTCCTTCCTTAAGCCCACAGCCCTTCAGCACCTGATTTGTCACAGAGCTAGACTTGGGATTGGAAGAGGAAAAGGTCACCTGGCCAGTGTGGGGAGGTTCTGAGTCACAAAAAGCCAAATAGGACAAGAGTTGTATGCTGGGTGATTGGAAGGCATCAGAAGGATCCATGAGCTGTATAGTGAAAGGGAAAAAGTCCTGGGGAAGAATTTACCCAAGGTGCTTTGAGCAGGCTTTTCACAGCTGGGTCATAAATATCAAGGGAAATCAGTTGTGTGACGTCACTGAATAGAGGGCTGGGGGGGGAGGGTAGGGAAAGCCAAGGACAGAAACTGGAGACACTGGAATCTGTGGAGCCAGGGATGTGACTCTGTGGGCAGTAGCCACCTTTATAGGTACGTGTGGTGGTGCCATGAGAAAGGAGGGAATATTTTAAATACCCTTGGAACTCTTGGTCTTTTGTTGTTTATTTGGTCCTGTAGTGGGTTGGAATGTCCCCAGAAATGCATGCTCCCCTGGGCCCTATTTGGAAATAGGATTTTTGCAGATGTAATTAGTTAAGGACCATAAGGTATGATCACTCAGGTTCCAGTGTGATTCCTGAATCCAATAATGGGAGTCCTCAGAAAGAGAGGAAAAGCCAGGTGTGGTGGCATACACCTGGGAGCTCTCTGGAAGGCTGAGGCAGGAGAATCTCAAGTTTGAACTGAGTCTGGGGGACAGCAACTTAGACCTTGTCTTTAAAAAAAAAAGAAATAAGAAAGAAAAGAAGACCCCAGGGTTCGGATGCAGAGACAAAGGGTGAAGCACATGAAGACAGGTGGGGATCAGTGAAATGGGGTCCCAGGTGCAGGACTCGTGGCTTTGCAAAGGCTGGGAGTGGCGAGGAGGGACCTGGGTGACACTGGGTTTGGGCTTCTGTCATCTTCTCATGTGAAATCACCCAATGTGTGACACGCAGCTGTGGTAAAGAACAAAGTTGGGGCCCAGAGTAGTGGCTCAACCTCTCCCTAGGGGAAGAACAGCTCTGGCTCTGGCCTCAGCACCTGGCGTCCTTCATCTTGACCACAAACATCTTCCTCGTACTTGTCAGAGCGCCCTCAGAGTGATATCTCATCTGAGCTTCCAGACTTTTTGAATTATATATGGTATTTGTATATGATCCATATTTAGAGTTCTCAGGTCCCCAGAGCCGAGGCAATGATTTCCACAGAAGCCACATACCAATTTCCTATAAATGCAATACTCTCCAATTTTCAGTGTTTCCCTTCCTCTGTTTTGCCCTGTTTTTGTCTGCAATGGGTTTTGGCCCTGTGACTCTGTCATCCCTGACCCTTGTGCACATTTTCGAGCACTGGATTTCTGCCTCCCAAAGGAATAGCATCGTCCTTTGACCTGTCCTTGTCCCTCCACTGTGTCTGTAACTAGCCCTCTCCCCTCACCTTCTCTTCCCACCCACACCTCCCCTGTGATCACCGGGAACTGGGGAACAGAGGCTTCTACATCCCTCCTGCCAAGGGCCCAGTGCTACCAGGGCCCCCAGCCAGCAGGACATTTGCATGGGACAGTCCATGGCCCTGTCTCAGCCTGTACCCCGGCTTCCTTTGCAAGCTTTGCCCCATCTTTTTAGGGTGTCCGGCTCTGCAGCTGTTTCCCAGAATCCTTTCTCAAGATTGTCCCTCTTGTGAGTCAGTTTTCTCCTAAGCAGAGCCTAGCCAGTCCCCATGCATATGCAGGGCCTTTTCTGTTTTGTCACCATGTTCGATAACAACCAATAGAGTACCTGGTTCTAAAGTGTGGGCCACATCACCATGCTAAAATGGAAGGGACCAGTCCTGCATTCAGATGTGGCTGTGGGGTCCCTCTTGAGCATGTGCATGAGATTCTGCTGTCCAGCAGGGAACAGCTGTGTCCCTGGTCTGTTCCCAGAGGTTCCTCGGATGCGGGAGCATAGAGTTGAGAAGCACAGAAGTTTCCTCCACCAGCTGCACACATCTGTAGCATCCCTAGGATTCTGGGTCACCCTGAGCCCTGCCCTGTCTGTCTGCCTGGCTTTAGGGTAGAGTCCAGCGAAGGCTCCAGCTGCCAGCTCCCTGAGTACAGTATCCCCATTCCTAGCATCCCACCTTCTCTCTCCCCAGGGTCCCTCACAATGCCTGTCCCCTGCCTGTTTCTGCCTTCTCCGCTGTGTTGCCCAGGGGACCTGGATGGTTGTAGGCTCCGTGTCCCTTGCTGCTCCTGTCTTCATGCCCAGCCTCCACATGCTCCCCTGGGACATCACCCTGGCTTTGGGGTTCTCCCTCTCCTGCAGGGGTCTCTTTAGCACCCTCTTTCCCAGGTTCCCTCCGCTTCCTGTCTCCTATGGGACTGAGACTTCTCCTCTCTTGGTTTGCACTTCCTGCTCTCAAACTGTGGTCAGAACAGACTCCATGCCTCTGCCAAATCTCTTGGCTTTCCAGAAATTCATTTTAGCAGCTTACTATAATGGCATCAAATACCATATTTTACTTTATTTTTCCAGACACCTTTATTCCTTACATTTCAATAGAATCAATTCTCAGGGTTTATTTCCTATTCTGTCCACATTTTGAGTTCCAGGCAATGAAGAAACAGACAGGATGTGCATCTTTAACTCTCTATTCTTATTAACACATTTGCGAGTCCTTTTTAATTTCTTCCATTCCTATCCCATTTCCTTTGGACACAGCCAACGTTCCCACCCAGAATCATCACGCTTGATTTTGATCAAGGTGTCAGATTTTCATATGTTTTGCCCACTTCCTTTGGCTGGAGAGGAGAGAGCATGGGAATTGTCAGTCTGAGATCTCTCCTGCTCCATTCACATTCACCACCTCCCACTTCATCCTTTTGCAGTTTCCAAGATGTCAAAAGAAGTTCATTCATTCCTCTGTTTCCCTCAAGTGGTCTAGAAGAGTCTGCATCTCTACTTCTGTGCATGGAACCTGTGTATCATTTGCTTCCTTGGGGTTTGGGTTTCTTCAGATTTCCTGGGTTCCTGGCCCACACATGTCTCCTGGCTATGATTTCCTAGTGTAAGTTTTTAATCCATCCAGATCCCCTCAGCCCCCAACCTGCTTGCCCAGAGAGGTACTACTCTCAGCATGGGACTTAGTTTGCCACAAGGAACTCAGTTCAGCATTAAAGTTGTCATGGGCAAGCAAAGGAAAGATTCTAAGATAGGACAAGGAGTTTGCAGGTCCTGGGGACATCTGGAGACATCCAAAAATTTACACTGGATGTGTCAAGGACTTTGCCCACAAGGCTTCCAGAGAACTTTGACCACAGATGTTTATTAAAATCTTCCTACCCAATGTCCCCTGCCTTCTTTCCATCCCTATACAAGGCACATACTTCCCTTTGTTCTTGGCAGACGGTCTTATCACTCTCTGCCTGCCTGCACCCAGGTACAATACAGTCCACACCATGTAGCATTTATACAAGCCTGGTGGTCTGCTGGTCTCTTGCCACCCCTCACCCCCATATGTTACACCCAGTTTGGGTGATTTCCGTCTTTCTAGGCATCCCTCAAGCTCCCCATTCTTTTCTCCTTTCGGGTCTACCTTTCCCTTTTCTTCACCCACCTCTGTGTTCCTGGGTCTTGGGGCTTTCATCCTGGCTTATAGCTGTGCTCCATGCATCCTGGAAAGCTTTACAGCTCCATGCACAGCACAGCGCACCGCAGCAATGCCACAGAGCAACTGAAAGGAGAAAACAAGAAGAGGACCATAAAGTAGAGCAGGTAGGCAGGGGTCGGCACCAGCCACAGCAGCCCCAAGCCCCGGTGCCTGACTTGCATGGAGACACAGAGCCTTGGGTCAGCTATAGCACAATTTCCCTGGTGACACAGGCAAACTGACCCCCTAGAAGAATAACAATTATTCCTGACCAGCCGCAGGCAGATAAGCTGCCATTTCCATTTTCTTTGGCTCTTTCCTCCTGTGACATCCTTCCCCTGCCACTGCAGATGCCAGGCCACCAACTTCATGACTTCTAGACTTCTCTGCACACCCTGCCTCAGGGCATCACCCCTGAACCCTGTCCCTCTGTTTTTCATCTATGTTCTCTGCCCCTGAGTTCCATTTGCTGCTTTTCATCTACATCTTTTCCTGAAGTCTCACATTATCAGGCTGAGCCTGGCCACCGCTGGTAGGAAATGGACTTGCCAGTAGCCCAGCAGGATCTTTCTTCCCCCACCAGATCCTCCATGGCTCATATCCAGCACCCTGTCCTTCCCCACTGCAGGTAGCTGGAGGGGCCCATCCCTCCCCCTTCTAGCCCCAGAGAATAAGGCTCCTCCTTCCCAGCATGCACCCCCAGTGCTCTTTCAATGCAAATCATAGGTCAACCTCTGAGGATGAGTATGAATATGTCCATAATCTCTTAAACAAGATGTATAGAGAGAGCATCGTGGCTTAAAGACTTCAGTTCACACTCAAGTTTACAATCAAATAAATGGAATGGGTGCCAACCAAAAAAATAAGTGTCCCAACAATGGGAGGGAT